CTTCACAGAATCTTCCAACCCTAAGATTCTGGAGTTCTAGACCAAAACCTAGGTCTTGTTTTGAAGTAGAAATGATATCCAGAAGACCACAGGCCACAGTGCTGGGTACCTAGAGGGTAGTCAAAACACTGGTCAAGGAGGAGGATAAGAATGAGTCCTTATTCTTGGGTGTAATGATTTGTCCTCTTTCCTCTTACATAAAAGTGATGTCAGGGGATACCAGCCTCCTGGTTCTATGCTAGTTGGAGATGTCACCCAGTCCTCGGCAGTAAATTCCACTGTGGAGATTATAATAGCAGTTGTGAGGGGTGGGGAGACGAAAGGAAGGACCCTTGGAGAGGATCCTAGCATTGAACTGACTCTGACAGTGAGGGGGCATGCCTGCTACTTAATGTGACTGACTACTCTGAGGGGCTGAGTGTAAGGATAGGAGTTTTAAGATATGAGGAGTTAGATAGTTAATATTGCAGCGCATATTTGAAAGTTGCTAAACAAAAGTTTTTGTCATGAGAAAAAAATTGCAACTTTGCATGATGATAGATGGTAACAAGACTTATTGTTGATCATTTTGCATTGTGTACAAATATTGAATCATTATGTTGTACACCTGAAACTAATGTAATGTTATATGACAACTATACCTCAGTTTAAAAAAAGACATGAGTTAGGACATGAATCATCTTCAGCGTTGGGTCTATCTCTAAAAAAAGGAGGCCTGGTGTGCTTTGATAAAAATGTTTCAGGCATAAGGAAGTTTGAAGGAACACTGGGTTAAACAAAGTTGAACAGGTTTGCTCACTGCAGGACTTCCCAGAGGCCTAATATGCCATTGTGCCTTGTGAATTTCCAAAAAAAAAATGGGATATGGATTATTTTTCAGACTGATCTGTTTTCACAGCTCATCTATTCCCATCTCTGGGGCACTGTTCTTTCGAGCAGTCTGGGAAATGTCTGGCTTGATTCTAGCTCTCCGCTCTCTGGTTCCGGGTAACTAGTCCCTCCTCCTCTTCCCCATGTGGGCTGATTTAGGGGAAAAGGAGGCCAAGGGAAGTCATTTGTCTGGATTCTCACACTAGTTAGTGGTAGAGTTAGAACTTGAACCCAGGGCTCTTGGCTTTCTGTCTTGCTCTCTTTCTTTTCTAGTGCTACCCTGTTTCTCTGCAGGCTCTTGAGTGAGTGAGCCCCTAGAAGATGCTGGCAATAGGGTCCAGAGGGCATTATGGGGGCATTTTGGGAGGAAAGGGAGTTATGGCCACTCCCATACCCAGAACATGCCACATGCCTCTGCCTCTGTAGACGGTCCTCCAGACCAGTTAACGTAGTAGCGACCTTAGGATAGGTTCTTTAGGAAGTAGGTCATTCTCCCCTGAAGCCTCCTGTTCTAGTCTATAAAGCTCTTCATTCAGAATCAGAGACTTAGATTTGGCATGGACCTTGATCTTTTGGTTCAATATACTTGTCTACGGATGAGAAAACTGAGTCCAGAAATGTGAAGCGGCCTACCCTGGCTCACACAGTAGAGTCAGGACCAGGGCCAGGACAAGAACTCAGCTCCCTGCCTACTAACCCAGGGCCCTGGCCTGGCTCAACTTTATACAAAGAGACAGGGACAGGGACAGGGACCTGTATCAACAGCAAATATCTTTTTACCTCAGTCTGCCCAGGGTGTTGGCCTAGTCACACAGATGACTGGTGGGGGTGTCTCAGGGGCTTCTGCTTGAGGCAGGTATAATAGCAAAGGGTGTGGATTTTAAAATCAGACATCAGATCTGATTGGGACCTTAGATCTATCTTTCTCTGAACTTTGCTTTTGTCACCTGTAGAGTGGGGATAAGAATATGCATCTCATAGTGCCCTTGATGTGAGGATCCTGTGTGCCTGAGTTCCTGGTAGCAAGTACAGGATAAGTGGTTCTCTTCCTTCCCTGCCTAATAGCTTTCGCTTTCCTTATCTGCGCTCCCAGGCCATTCTGACCACTCACTTGCCTGGGGTCTCTGAGATTACCGCAGGGATGGTTCAATTCTGCCCTCAGAGAAGAGTGATGGGGGAACTGTGGGTGCCTGGGTCCTCTCCTCTATCCAAGGTGGCTTCCCCTTCCTTGGAGACTGGAGCCACCCCTCTCAGTATGATTGGAGAGAGGCCACCCTGGCTAGAGACCGTGGGCTGGGAGGGAAGTCACAGGTTGGCAGTCTTATCTATTTCTGAGCCGGAGGACACAGACAGCTGGGGGAATGAGTGGCTTGTTCTGGCTCCGTCTCAGCTGGGTGTGTGCTTGCTTCTGAGTCTCAGACAGTGGGCACGGCTGGGAATGAAGTTCCAAACCCATGACCCGGAAGGCTGTCGTGGGCTGGGGCAGGAACTTTCTTGGCTCTGGGGTTTCCTTGTCTGTCAAATGACCAGATGATTTCTAAAGTCCATCCCACCTCTGACGTTTCAGTTTCTAGATCCACTCACCATCGTCCTATTAATCCCAGGGGACAGGTAGACAGAGAGTGGGTTGATTCCGGGCACCTTGGTCCCTGTGCATCAGGCCTGGTGACTTGCCCAGACACTCCTGGGTGTATCATTTTACTCCTATGCCCTGATAGCTATGTGCTAGGGTAGGAGGGTGAAGTCTTTTTTGGGGGGGAACGGAGAGCTGGGGGAGTTAAAGTAAGTAAAGGAAGAGGGAGGTAAGGAGACTGTCATAAGAGACCTGGTCACAGTGGGCCAGGGGCTGTGCTCTTGTGCCTGCTGGGTGGGGTTTCCTGAGATGCTTGCTCTGAGCTATTCTTTCCATTCTGGCTCTGGGCATCTGTTCCTGGCAGGGAGGAGGGCATGCTGCCTGGACCAGTCAGCTGCTCCTTTCCGCCCCTCCCTCCAACACACACACACACCCTCTTGCTCTAACCCCAGTAGCTCAAACTTCTCTGCAGATTCCAGAGCCTTAACCCTTCAGATGCCCCCAGGGGAGCCTGAGCCGGGGCCTCAGCTGGCTGGAAGCATGGTGGCCACACTTCCAGGTGAAGGAGATGCTTCCCCAAGGCTGCATCTGAAAACTTTGACAGCCAACAAGTCCTGTGTTTGAGCCCACCTGCTTCTGCTGTTGTGATGGCTGGGTCTGTGGGTCCTGCAGGAGAAAGGAGAGGTTCTGTCTCCTTCCTGATGAGGGCATGAGGCCATGAGAGAGGAGAGCAAACTTAGATCTGTAATGTGGCAAGGATGGGCAGAGTCTGAGTGTCTTTAGAACAGGCATTGTGAGGAAGAATGTGCTAGTGATTCAAGCTGCCTGAAAGTGGAACAGTCTTGCTCCCTGTCACTGGATTGTATCCAGCAGCTGAATGCCCACTGTGTTTTAGGAAAATTCCAGCTTCCAGTGGGGAACCTTAAAGGTCCTTTTTAGCCCCTGGAGACCGCGAGCCCCTCTAGTAGCTACCGGCTGAACCTAGATAGATGCCTTGATCCCCGGTTTCTAGTCTTGGGCATGATTCCTCACCCTGCCCTGGACCTTTTCCTTGCTGTTTCCCCGCCTTCCCTTTCAACTCTACATTCTTCTCCAGCTCACACCTTTAGTCATAGCTATGAAAGTAAACACTGACCACTTCCGCCTTTCCCTGCTACCTAGGCAATGCCAGCTGCAAACTTCACCCCTAGCTGAGGCCTCGATGATGAGGAGGTGGCCATGGCTGTCATGTAGGTCGGGCAGCAGCCAGGAAGCAGGCTCAGTAGCTGCCAGTGCTGGCAGTCCTGGGCCTGAGGCTCCTGCCCGTCTGGCATTGCTCAGAGGTGAATGTGGCCGAGCTCAGCCACTCCCCTGACTGGCCTGGACACTCTCTCCCTCTCCTGTGCCAGCCCTACACCAGAGATCTGGGATGTAGTCCCAGCCCCAGGCCCAGCTTTGTGACCAAGAACAGGTCGCTCTGCCTGCCTGCACTGTGGCCGTGTGGTTGGTGGAGCGAGGGAGGGTTGGCTTGGGTTTGGGAACCGGGGGGATTTCGAGGGGGCTGAATGGTTTGGCATCCACTTGCAGTGTAAGCCTCCCGTTGCCATCACAGGGTCTTAGATGGGAATGCACGAGAAGAGATGAGAAGTAGGATACACAGGGTGTCCAAACAAGGGATCTGAGCATGGGCTTTAAGAGCATGGGCTCCAGAGTCGGTCTTGGAGTTCAAGTCTTGTCTGACTTCCTCGCACCCTAGCTAAGTAACTTGGGCAAGTGACTTAATGCTTCTATACCTCTATCTCTTCACTTGTAAATACGGATAACAACAATATATATCCCGTTGGGCTCTTGTGAGGATTTAATGAAATAATAACTAAAAATAGTCAACATTTATTGTTTATTAGGGCGCAGGCACCATTCTGAGTGCTCTAGTATATTTTCTCATTTAATTTTTACAACTCTGTAGAGGGCACTATAGTAATAGTGTTAAACCCATTTTCCAGGTGGAGAAACTGAGGCATAGTGAGGTGAAGTGGTCAGTGCGGGTCTTTGGTGGGCATGAGCTGGTGGCTGAGGCCCCAGAGAACAGGACTGTGACCTGCTATGTTCCCAGCAGGCAGGTCTCCTGGTGAATTCCTCTGAAGCCAGAAGAGTCGAAGGGAGGGGTGGGGGAGTGCAGAGGGAGTACTCTGAGTCAGCAGCCAGCAGCCTGCTGCCCATCTAGGGCTGGCCGTGCTCTCCCTGATTCACCCTTTGGTCTGGGGAAGGACTTGTTTTTCTGGCTTGGCTTCCAGGAAGGAGGGAGGGGCAAAGCAGGCTGGCTAGGCAAAGGGCAGGCCCCATGTAGCTGGGCTCCTCAGGTAAGTCCCAGGATCCCAGTCTGTTAGGGCTGGAATGAGCTCAGAAATCATCTGGTCCACTCAGATCATTTCACAGAGGCTCTCCCTGAGGAGGCAATAGGGCCGGGTCCTGGTGACACTGGTGGCTCAGCTGGAGCTTCTGATCACAGGGCCTTTCTTGGGCTGTGTTCAGCCTATTCACCTGTGGATTTACCATCTGGATGATCACCATCAGATGGGTCTGGGGTGCCGAGATGATGATAATGACAGATAACCCGACTCCAAAGGTGACTTGCTTGTCCCTCTTCCTGAAAAAAGGCTACCTTTCTTTTGGTGGAGTTAAAAGGGGGGTGTTTTGGAAGGGGTGGGTAGAGGGGTATAGGGAGAAGGAGCCTCTTGCCTTAGGGGAGGAAACCCCAGTTTTTCCTTTTTAAAAAGTCTATTAAGGAGATTCACATATTATAAATACTTATGAATATTTTCCTACCCTTACATAAACCCAAAACATTTTAAAAAACAGTATCTCTGTTTCTTAAAGTCACAACACTCAGTTTTTAGTCTTCTCCTGTTCTCTTTGCTCCCCACTTTCTCAGGCCACTGCTCCACTGTGCTGGACCTCTGAGAGTCTGCCTCTGAGACCCTTGTTTGCTGTGTCATACCCTCACTGTCTCGGATGTCTTTATTTCTGACTTGACACATTCTTGCTGTTCTGGTCCATTTACTCTGGAAAGATGAAGGACAGTTTTCCTCAAAATAACCCATTTAGAGATCTGGCCTGTTATTCAATCCCTCCTCCCCTACCTTCCCTGCCACCTTCAGCCCTGTCTGAATTATCCCAGTATAAGAGAGAAGAGATAAGCCAGTCCTTTACCTGATCCCTGAACTGTGCAGCATGCCCTAAAAAGAGAAGCTGGTTCATCTTTCTTTCCAGCAGAGGCTCTGAGGCTGCCTGCTGACCTGGATCTGGATCCAGGATCTCTCAGATCCTAAAGGTCTGCCCCTTGGGAGATGCTCTAAGGGGAGGTGGTGGCCTTGTCAAGGGGCCCAGATTCTGTCAGGGTTTGTCCCTAATAGAGGCCTTCGAAGGACCTGCTTCTTACCTCTTCTCAGGCCCCTATCTCTGCCACCTCTGAGGGAAACACTAGGCCCGAAAGACATTTATTGGGCTGAAGAGGCATAAAGAACACAGCATTAAACACACACACACACACCATAATATAGAGGACACATACCTAGGACCCTGAAGGCCTTGATTCTGAGGGTGTCGTTAACTTGCTAGTTCTGTGACCCCGGGGAATTACTTTACTGTCCTGGGCCTTGATTCCCTTATCTGAACTTTGCATTTGGGCTGTACAACTGGAGGTCCCTTCTTATTCTATTGCTGGGGTTCCTTCCTCCTTCCCCTGGCTGCGGGGCTCTTCCTACTACAGAGAAGGTACTGACTGAACCTTGTGGCATGAATACTCGGTGATCTGTCTTCCCCGCTAGCCTCTGCCCCTGGTGGGGAGACAGGCAGGAATCACAGGGATACCAGAGACCCTGGAATTCAAAATGTGTGTCTCCCAGGGTCTTTGGGGCCCTGCAAGCACTATCCACTCCCTGGCAGGGCCATGGAACAGTGGCAGTGATAGACTGCCACACACCCATCTGACACGCCTGGGCTGTTATTTGAAGGAACTAGAAAGTCCTGTCTCAGGCCTGCCCTTTTGTGCCACCTCCTGGCTCTGGTGGCCAGCCCCATGCACCCACTCCCCCACACCTCTCAGGCGTCCCCTGACTCAGCCTGTCACTGACCATGGGGCCCTCAGCCCTCCCCCTCTGGGCCTCCTGGCTGCAGCCCTGGGGCTAGCTTGTTGTCCTCAGCCTCCTCCCCCACCCTTCCCTCTGGGCCTTGCCTCCTCCCCAGTTCTGCCATTCAGGCCTTACACTCTGGCCAGCTGCTATGGGGGCTGGGCTAACTCCCAGCTGGCCCTGTGATTCACCAGGAGGCTTTGCTGGGCCATCAGGCTTCTTCCCTGGTCACTAGGAGACTTTCTTAAATGAGCACAGAGAAGTTCCCCAGGCCCCCTGCTCCTCTTTCATCCTCCTGATGCCAGTGACCCCTCTGGGCTCCTGCACTAAATCACCCCCCTGCCCCCGACCCCCCCCTTTCCTATGGCTAGAACATGCACAATAAGAAGGGCTTTGGACAGAAAGCTGGTGGAGGGCAAGAGGCAGGGGCTGATCTGGTGGGGCAGGGAGTGCTGTGGGGATGGGGAGGACGGCCTGTGGGCAGAGAATGACATGCCACGATTGAGAGAAAATATGAGAGTTTCCTTCCACGGAGACAGCTTAGACTGGGGCTAAGCTGGGCCTGGGCACTCACGACTGCTTTTCTTGTCTCCCATTCCAGGTCCCAGCAGCTGGGGTCTCCCCTCAGCCCTTGAGTGACCATGTCCAACCCCAGCGCCCCACCTCCGTATGAGGACCGCAACCCCCTGTACCCTGGCTCTCCACCCCAGGGGGGCTATGGGCAGCCGTCTGTCCTGCCTGGCGGGTACCCTGCCTACCCTGCCTACCCACAGCCTGGCTACGGTCACCCTGCTGGATACCCACAACCTATGCCCCCCATCCACCCAATGCCCATGAACTACGGTGAGTCCCTGAAGGGTGGCTCAGGGGGTGGGTGGAAGAACACATGCAACACATGAGGCCATCTCCTTTCTTTTCAACTTCCTGTTTTGTTCGTTGTTTTTTTTTTTTTCATCTCTTCATTTTCCATTTTCATTAACTCCCTACTTTTCCCCTCACACCTACCTCTCCCCAACTACCTGCGACTGCCTTTTTCCTCAGCACCTAGCCCCCCTGGACCACTTGCTAGCCCCTTTATTCAGCAGGGAGACCGAGTCCATAAGACACACACCAGAACTTACATACCACATGAGAAAGTGGCTGGGTGAAGTAATTAATTACTTCAGAGCGGTTACCTTAAGAGGCCATTCCTGCCTCGCCCAGATTACACTTTTCCTTTGCAACATAAAGCACATTTTTTTTTTTAAACTCGGTGCTGACAAGTCATCCTTTAAGGTAACATCTTATTTTTGCAAACATCCAGAAGTCATCTGGATGTTTGGTACATGCCATGGCAAGTCAGATGCTCTAGTCAGAAATGAGATGAGATTAGAAGGCAGTGAGACTTTTCCCGAACAGCTCACATGTGGACTTTCAAAGCAGTTCCCAGGAGGCATGCAGGATTTGAGGCCCTGTAGCACCTCTGGAGCCCTGGAGCAGACTTTCAAAGCAGTTCCCAGGAGGCATGCAGGGAACATTTGAGGCCCTGTAGCACCTCTGGAGCCCTGGAGCACAGCCAGTGCCTATCTGGCCGTGCTTGTCTGTTCTGGTGCGAACATTAGAGCATCAGTCACGTTTCCAGTCCTGCCTTGCCCTGTGAACATGCACCCCTGACACACCTGTTTTCTCTGAGTCTGAATATTGGCCTGACGTAGATCACAGTCTTCATACTCTTCTCTGCCCTCCACACACATACCGTGTTTTTATCTCCCTTTTCCCTTGCTCTGACTCCCAGCTCCTCTGGCTGATGCTCCCAAGCCATATACTATTTGCCTGGCTTCCTCATTAGATCAGGACCTCTTTGTTCATACGCCATAGAGCCCAGGTGTGGGCTGGGCACCCTCAATGAATGCATGGTATACTACTTGCCTGGCTTCCTCATTAGATCAGGACCTCTTGCTTCCTCATTAGATCAAGACCTCTTTGTTCATACGCCATAGAACCCAGGTGTGGGCTGGGCACCCTCAATGAATGCATGCTGATGGAATGGCTCTAACATAAGCCCCTTTGTGACAGGGGCACATGGCTCCATATGGTGCCCAGGCCTGCTCTGGGTCACTGCGGACCTGGCTTAGGCAGGGAGTTCAAGTTATAACACTTGTCTTTTGGCTGAAGATACCTCAGACTCTGAGACAATATCATGGATGCATTGGGATTGAGGCCACATGTTCCAAATCCTCAGTTGGTCATATGTGATCTGTCCCCAGGCCCAGGCTATGATGGGGAGGAGAGAGCAGTGAGTGACAACTTTGGGCCTGGAGATTGGGATGACAGGAAAGTCCGACACACCTTCATCCGAAAGGTGAGATCTAGGCTGGGAGGCAGGTGTACCTGGGCCCCTTGGGCTGTGGAATGAGGGCGTTGGGAGGCACTATTAGCCCCGGGGTACTCATTCCCATGGGAATATGCTGCTGCCCCTTCCAGGTTCTCTCTGCCATGCATTCTTCTGACCGCACTTCCCCACTGTTTTGTTCCTCTCCATGACCCGGTTTTGGGGTGAGGGCAGATTCAATCTGGGAGAATCTCGGCAGGCTCCGCCGTGTTCTGCCCTTCCTAGACTTCTTTCTCTTGTTTGACTATAAGCAACTCGAAGGCAGAAAGGCTCACATTCATAGCCTCCCTCCCTCCCTGGCTCATGGATGCATAGCACCTGCTCAGAGTAGATAAGATACCTGGCAGATGTCGGCCTGAATTGCTGCAAATGCGGAGGCCACACATGGTTGTGCAGTGAGGCAGAGAAGCAAGCAGTCAACAGGCTGGATGTCAGGAAGGGGGCATGTCAAGGAGAGCAGGAGGTGGGGGGTCAGCTCTGAGGTGTGTCTAGTACCTGAGCCAGGGTCCTCACTGGGGGTGGCCTCTGCCTGGCTGCAGCTAGGGAGGGCTCTCGAGTGAAAACAGAGTAGATCCTTCAAAATGAAGGAGCCTCTCCCTACCACTAATAGACAGGGGAGGAGGAGAGTCGTTTGGGCTCCTTGGTCTGGCGGGGCTGGCTGCTTCCCGGGGAGAGGCCAGGGGTGTGGGATGGTGACCCGTCTGTGTTCCAGGTTTACACCATCATCTCTATCCAGCTGCTCATCACGGTGGCCATCATCGCTATCTTCACCTTTGTGTGAGTCTCTAGCCTCTCTGCCCTTCTCTTACCAGCTCTAGGGTTCTGGGCTGGGCCCGGGGCTCTGGGGCACCCGCCAGGAGATGGGGTGGGCCCTTTACTCAGATGGACTGGAAGAAGAGTTGGATGCGGGTGATTAGAGGAGATGGCCGTGACTTCTCTCTTGTCCTCTCCTGCTCCACAGGAAGCCAGTCAGTGAGTTCGTGAGGAGAAATGTGGCTGTCTACTACGCATCCTAGTGAGTCTGTGCTCCTCCCTGCTTGGGGCAGGGAGAGGAGGGGTGACAATTGACTGGCTTTTCTCAGGGCAAGGATCAAACACTTTTTCAGAGGGGCCCTCCAAGTTGCCCCCGTGTTGGGAAGTATGGGTGCGTGCCACCAAATGAGGTGTAACAGCAGCACAGAATTCCCAAGAGCGGGGGTGGGGAAGTGGTGGCAACACGCATACAGCAAAATGGTCCCCATGTTGTTAGCTTGTCTGCTAATGGCCAACTTCACCCTCCTTCTTGGCCAGACCCCTTGTTACAGAGGATCTCAGTGCCCTTGGCTGGGGTAATCTGGTCCTACTAGGTAGCCTCCCCCCAGACTTCCAAACAGCTCTGTGAGCCTCCCACCTGCTGGCCTGGTGAGTGCTGCCAGGCCAGGTCAGGAGGGGTTGAGAAGCAGACAGGGCCTATGGACTACTTCCTGTCTCTTTCTCCCCAGTGCTGTCTTCCTGGCTACCTACCTGACTCTTGCCTGCTGCCAGGGACCCAGGTAAGCCTCTTATACAATGAGAAGGGATGGCAGTGGGTAGAAGTTGGGTCAAATATTTGGGAAGAAACGGGATTCCTAATAGCAACTGAGTGAAGACTTAAAAGCAGTAATGATGATGATAGCAGCTACTTTCAGGTATGTACAAAGTACCTTGCCTGTGTGGAACCGATTTAGCTATGTAGCTATTATTCTTGTAGCAGCCCTGCAAGATACGCAGCATTTTAACCATTTAACAAATAGGAAGAACCCAAGGCTCAGAGGGGCTGAGTAACTTTTTCAGTTACAGAAATAGTCAGTGTAAGAGCTGCAAACAAATCCAGGTCTTTGTGGCTCCACAGCCCAGGTCTGTCCTATTGCCCCATGTTGTTGGTGTTGCATAGGACCACCTGAGCAGGTACCAAAGGCCAAACTCGTCTCCCCTCTCTCAAGTCAAGGCCTAATTCTCTAGGCACACAAGTCAAGAACTTCCTTCTGCTAAAGGAGCCTCTGATACCTGGCTGGCCCCAAGTCACGTAATCATGGTTTCTTTCCCTTCAGACGCCGTTTCCCATGGAACATCATCCTGCTGACCCTCTTCGTAAGTCTGGAAGGGTGGAGGGGGTGTTTGGAGATGGTGTGAGGGATGGTTGGTCCCAGGGAAGGGATAGGGATGCCACTGTGGAAGATGTCTGGCTCCCTCTCTCACTTTATCCTGACTTCTGCCTTGGTTTCCTCGGTGGCTGCCTCTTTCTTCCTCAGTCACCTTTACCCCCAGCTCTGACACTCCACCGTGGCCGTGCCTCTCTTAAGTGTTTCATACTTGTTTTTTTCCTCTCCTCAGACTCTTGCTCTGGGCTTCATGACTGGCACCATTTCCAGGTACACTCAGGGACAAACCATGACACTCTTGGGAAGTGTGTGCTATAGGGGAGTGGGGCATCTCTGGGCTGGCAGTCATCTGCATGGGAGATTCTGGGCAGGGTCCTTCTGGAAATGGTGGTTTTCAGGTCAATCATATATGGCTTATGCCTCTGGCCTCTCTTAACCCCTTCTCTTCAGTATGTATCAAACCAAAGCTGTCATCATCGCGATGATCATCACTGCTGTGGTGTCCATTTCAGTCACCGTCTTCTGCTTCCAGACCAAGGTGAGGGCAGGGGGTCCCTTCTGTGGCCATTCCACTCCCTTAAGGACCGGCACCAGGGCAGACCTGGGAGAGACCAGATCCCTAGACCCAAGATTTCTCTTAGAGACCCTAATCCCTGTCCTTTCATAGCTACACCTACAAAACTATTTCCTGTGTCTGTCCTTAGAATGTCATTGTCACTTCCATGTCCCCCAGAAGGCAGCACTGGTCCTCCCTGGTTGGGGGAGGCAGGGCCATTCTGGTTGGGTTGCTAGTTGTGGCACTTGTCTGACAGGTGCCACTTTCTTCCTTCTCGGCAGGTGGACTTCACCTCGTGCACAGGCCTCTTTTGTGTCCTGGGAATTGTGATGATGGTGACTGGGATTGTCACCGCCATTGTGCTGTCCTTCAAATATGTGAGTGTCCTGGGAGAGCTGGGGTCAGTGAACGGAGTGCTCAGAGACTTTCTGTATAATGAGTGTAGCAGGCCCCACTGGCCTCTGGGCAGGCTCTGACTTCCAGAACGTTTTAACTGGCCAGCAAAGGTGCCAGTGCTGAAGCCCCATCCTTTGGGTTAGGGTTTATAGCCTCTTCAGTGACAGAAGGCCCCGGGAGCCATAGCACTTGAGGCCTTGGACAGACGGCACCATGGAATTCCTGTGGGAAGCAGTGGGTGAGATCTGTCTGATAGCTGAGACCAGGTTCTAGGAGGCGGACTGGGAGAGGAACCCAGAGGACCAAGAAGATGGGCCAGGGTGGAAAGAACTTCAGGGGTCACTGTATCCAACTCCTTTTTTATTCCAGTTGGGAGCGAGCGTGAGGCCTCTAGGCTGAGGAGAGCCTCATGGCAGGGAGTGGAGAACAGCGCTGGAGGGGGAGTACAAGGACTGTCTGCCCACTTGACCGTGGGCTGGCCCTGCCCTTCTGCGGACAGGCACCTGGAAGGCTGTTGAGCAGGGCTGCCCTGGGGGTGCTCTCTGATTCTGATGTTCATCACAGCGAGTGGGGGGCTTCCCTTCCAGCCCTCTTCTTCAGTCTGTCCCTCCCAAGCTGGACTGCAAGAACCACTGTCCTGAAGGATGACCATGACTGAGGGAAAGGGGACAGGGCTCTTTGACCGGTGCCTGCCTAGGCCTGCCCCTCCCAGAGCTATAATTCAACCACCTTCTTTTTCTCAGAAGTACATACCTCTGTACCTTAACTCACGCCGGAGATTGGTTTTTATATGGCCATTGGAGGATGCACTGTGTTTTCTCTGCCAAGTATGTTACCCCTCTTAATTTCTTCCAGGTTCTGGAAGGCAGAGGTAGTCCTTTCATGTACGTAGCCTCCTGGATCTGCCCACTCGATGGCAGAATCCCAGGGGAAGATGGTCTTGAGGGCCTGCCTTGGTCTACACTTTGCTAAGATTTCTAACACTATCCCTGTTCCCTCTCCCCAGATTTACTGGCTCCATATGGTCTATGCTGCTCTGGGGGCCATTTGTTTCACCTTGGTAAGTAAGGCCCTGCCCCTAATGGGAAGGGGAGTTGAGGGGATGGAGGCGAGGAACTGAATGGGTAGAGTACGAATTTAGGCTGTGTGGGAGGAAGGGAGTGTGGCTACATGTACCCTTTCTTCTCCCTGCTGTCAAGGGGTCCCACTGATTTTCTAGGCATTCCCTCCTCTTGTTCACTCACCAGGCCACACTGTAGAGACAGTGCGTCTCTCTCTCCTTCTAGACAGTGAACTGCTTGAGGGTAGAGACGTGTCCTGCCGTTCATTAATGTGTCCCTTAAGCACACTGCATGGCACGGAGGATCTGGGGACAGATCTGCTGACCAGAAATGAGCTCTGGCACTGTGCCCCTGGGTCCTCACTTGTGCCTCCCGTATCCCTGCAGTTCCTGGCTTATGACACGCAGCTGGTCCTGGGGAACCGGAAGCACACCATCAGCCCGGAGGACTACATCACTGGTGCCCTGCAGATCTACACAGACATCATCTACATCTTCACCTTTGTGCTGCAGCTGGTGGGGAGTCGTGATTAAGGAGTGCCCCCAGTTCCACTCTACCCTGGGCTCTCCCTTCTCCAGAGGGCTGGGCCCTGTGATGGGGGTCTGGGCCTCAGACTTTTTCCTTCCCCTCAAGTAATATGCCCAGTTTCCTTTCTGTCCTGGGGTGAGCGGCCTCTGGCTGTGGATGTGTGGGTACCTCCTGGTGGGGCTTGAGGAACTAGAGACTAACTCTTGCCCTTGGTGGACCTGGCAGGGACTAGGATGAAGATGTGCCTTCTCCCTCTACCATGTGGCAATAAATTCTTCTTAACAGCTAGGGTTGGAGCTGGGAGGGATGAAAAGAGCCTATAAAATAGCTAACAGGGGATATGAGAGGTAGAAGTGACTTCAAGGTGATGAGGTTTCCCCTCTCACATCTGCTATAGGCTTCTGGGCTAGGTAGCTAGAGCTGTTTCCTTCCCTTGACCCCCAACAGAGCCAAAGAGCTTTGTCCCCAGCCTCCTGGACTCATAGGCCATTATTCTGCATTCTTTTGGCAAACCTTGGCACTTCCCAGCTCAGGAAGGTAGAAGAGATCTGTGCCTGTGGGTCCCCGCTCCTTTAACCCCTCTTCTTTTGATGGCATGTATATACTGTTTATCTGGGGTGGGGTGGGGGTGGGGTGAGGAAGAGGAAGAGGAGAGTGAGCAAAGTTGAGCACAGGGGCCAATACAGAGCAGCATCTACCCTGGGCTTCCTCAAGGCCGTGGTGGTGGCAGGGAGAGCAGGCCGTTTGTAGCCATGTAGTCCCCATTCTCCAAAGCTGCCTGGGGCCTCTCTGGTGCTTGAGAGCCCCAATCAGAGGGATCTCTTGCTTCCTGTGCTCAGGCTGCTCAAGGCGGAAAGTGAGGGGCAAAGGTCAGGAGAGGGGTGATTTGTAGGACTGGAAGTGTGGCCAGGAAGTAACCAGGATGAAGAGACTGGATTGGGGGCAGGGGAAAATGCCTTGGAGTTGCCCCCTGGGATGAGAGATGTGGAAGCCTACTGTGGCATCCATGGAAGCTTCTGTGTTCTTTCCTTCTGCTAACCTGGGGAGGGCCCTGAGAGGAAGGGGACTTCTCCTCAGTTTGTTCTTAACTCTCGCTGGAGACTTTAGACTCAAACCCCGTTTCTCCAGCCAGCTACTGCTTTCTTCCCGACACCAAGTGCCTCAAGCTGGAATGGGGAAGAGGGACAAAGCATCACTCTATTGGGTGGGGTGGAAACCGAATTAGCCCATATATAATTAGAACTTCTCTATTAGTCCTTGGTCCTAAGTACATCACAAAAAAGACCTAACTAGAAATGTAATAAAGTTTTATGTTTAGAAGTTAAAAGCCTGTGTGGCTCTGGTTTTCTTCACTTTAAGGTGTCAACTCTGGGAATATCTGGTCTGGCTCTACCTGAGGCATCCACTTCCTACCTTTGTATTCTGGCTTGCTATCTTCCACCTTTTCTAAGATAACCAAATACTTTTGCCCTGGTGCTTCCTGGTGATGATGCGACAGGCTGGTGAAAGCTCACCCTGTATTACTGGGTCTGGCAGGGACCACTCAGAGCAATAGCACATGATCTTTTCTGCATCATGGACCCTTTAAAAAAGCTCATGAGAGCTACGAACTCTCTTCCCCACACAGCTGTGTGTGTACACACAATTTCACAGTTGGGGTGGGAGAGATGGACCACAGGTTTAGGTTTAGAACCCTTGCTTTAGAAATCACTAGTCCAAAACTTCTTACAAACAAGGAAACTGAGGCCTAGAGAGGTTGAGTCAGTTGGACTCAGATATGAGGAATGGTGCTTTATTTTCTTCCACACCCTCAATATCCTCTTTGATTCTTTCTATTATTTGTTCAAAGCTGAGAGAGACCCCACCCTCCTGGCCAGCAGCTCTGAGGGCTTGGTCCCCAGTGCCTGAGCCTAGGCTTGTTGCTTAAGTCTCTGTGGTTTCAAGCTGTGAACACTGAATGCTTCTGTGACAGGGTGCACACAGGAGTAACCAACCCCGCCCTCTGCCCCTCCCCTCCCAAGGGACTCAAAAACCCAGTCCTGGTTCCTTTCCACTCAAACACTGGATAACTTTATTTGCCTTTGGCTGGTTTCTCAGAGGAGGGGAGGAGAGGGGAAGAGAGGGATGGGACTGGCAGCAGCATGGGCTTCACGCGCCCTCTGGTGGCCCTCAGAGGCAAGAACCAGAACTGCAGCCAAACCCAAAGGACTTCATAGTCTGAAGACCACAGTCAATACAGTCTAGGGGAGGGCTGCTGTGTTCCTCAGGTCTGCACACTGGACCCAGCTTCAGGAGATGGGGCATGTTGGGAGGAGGCCCTGAACCTCTGGCTCTCATACTCGCCCGTGTTGGATGCCCGCATGTTCTGCCGAGCCTTCATCTGCTTCAAACGGTCCTTGTCCACTTCCCGCTTGGTGAGGATGAAGAGGAGGATACCACAGGGGAAGCCGATGGCCCTAGGGGTGGGGAGATGTGCACGGGGTTTGGGGAGGGGCCACGCCTGAGCCAGAGGAACTGGGGGAAATCTCATTCCAACTTCATTGATCTCATGAACACTGCAATACCTCTTGTGTCTGTCTATTCAGCCTCCACGCTGGCTGCTGGAGGGCCCCATGAAAATCAGATCCTGCCGCTGCCCTGCTTAAAACCCCGTAACATCTCTCCATCACTTCCCAGCCAAGTCCAAACTCCTAGACATGGCACAAAAGGCCCGGTATGGTTGGGTCTCTGCGCATCTCTTCAATCCCTTCCCCTGTAGCCTGACACCTCTCACCGTAAGCCCTGCAATCTTGTTATACAGCCTGTGCATGATTAAAAAAAAATTTCCCTATCAAAATTTTGGCAAAGGTTCCCTCTGCCTAAACTGTCCCACATCCTCTCCTAGACTCTCCTTCTTTTTTCCTTTTTCTCTTCAGTTTCCCTTTCTTCATCTGAGTAACTGCTATTTGGGAGGCACCCTGCTGTGGGGGAAAGGGCATGGAGTCACAAGACCTGGTGAGAACCCCAGCTCTGAGCCTTAGTTCTCTCATCTGTGAAATGGGGATGTAATATTTATCAGAAAGACTAAAACATTACACTGTAAAGTCCTGGAACACCTAAGGTGCTGAAAACAAAGCTTAATTTTCCTCTCCTTTCCCTTTAATACTGATCCATAGTATGTATTAAGGTCAGAGTCAGATCCAAATAATGTATGACATACTGAACACCTTCTAGGTGAGACCTCAATTGGGGCTCACCCCAAGCTCCCAAAAGAGGATGAGGCCTGAGACCCAAATTTGAATCAAATTAGCTCAGCTTACTCCACAGAAAACCCACCGTCTCTCCAATTCCACATTCTTTCCCACCTCCCCTGTCCCATTCCTCTGAGATTCCAGTCCTTGCAACCAGCAATTCTGTCCCCTTGGATTAAGCTCACCACCTGAAACTTAAGAGAAGTTTCTGGCTCCTACCCTCCCCTGGTGCCACTCCCAACTGGTGGGCAAAGGGTTAGTTAAAACTCACCAGGCTAGTTCCACAGCTTTCATGGGGTTCTTGCCTCTCTTTCTGGGAATGTATTCCAGCTCAGGAGATAGGGGCTCAGGCTCTTCCTTGCACTCTGAGGAGCTGTGGCTTTGCAGTGCCCGGGTCCTGTTCTGAGCTTTGTTAGCTGTGGCTCCTGAGAGAATCCCTGTGGATGAAGATCATGAAGGTCAGTAAAAGGATGAGGACAAAGCGTGGGGAGGAGTGGTTGAGATCTGAGGAAGGGAAGTGACTGCAGTGGAGTAACAAGTGCCAGGAGAATCCAAACAGAAATGGGAACATCACCATCGATCGAGGTGACACCTTTGGAAGCCACTTCCACGTCACTGTGGGCTCATCACCCTGGAGCCAGGAAAGCAAGCTTCGCTGTTCTTCAAATCCTCAGAAGACAGGATAACAAGGACTGCAGTGGGACTCACATGAGACGTATGAGGCAATTCCGAGAAAATGTTTTCAAACTGCAGAATGTTAGCACTGGAAGGGGGCTTAAAGCTCCGTCCCCTCGTTTTATAGAAGAGGAAACTGAAGCCCAAAGAAAGGAGCTGCTTCATCCAAGGTCAAACTGCTAATTATCCGGGGCTAGAACCCAAGCCTCCAGAAGCTCAGGGTTCTTTCCTCTGCACTGCGGTGAGTGTGAAACACCTGGAACACGGGAGTCTAAGAGGCTTACTTGGGGCTCCCTCTCGCAGCAAAACCCCAGAGGTGTTGTGTAACCCAAAAGCAGAGGGATGGACTGGGTGACCTCTAGAGACCATCCTTTGCCCCCAGATTCTTTAAGATCCTGCAAAAGGGTGCGAGCAGGAATCGAACACTCTGACCTCCTGCTCTCCCCGGGCGGGATGTGAAAAAAAGGGGATTCCCCTATAGTTCTGCCCTCCCCGGGGTCCCTCTCCTTACCCCGGAGAACGCGGGCATTTCTCGCCCCCCGGCCCTTCAGCGCCGTAGCAGCTACCACCGCCGCCATGTTCAGATCCCACCCCCCTTTGCCGCGCTCCCTGTCGGGAATTGTAGTTTGCGTAAGGGGCCTCCCCCGCTCCTTTCGTCCCGCCTACAGACCAGAAACTACATCTTCCAGAAGCCCGCGGAGCGGACAGGGGAGAACTACTCTTCCCAGGAGACCCGGAGTCGCGCACGCTCGCTTGTTTCGCTCCTGTCGGGGGCGGAGTCAGGCCGGGCGGAGTTTGGATTCTCCCCGCCACGCCCGGCTCCCATCTCTGCCCTGTGATTGGTGAATAAGCTAGCCAACCCCCTTCCCTACTGGCCGAGCGGCCGTCGCTCTTGCTGTCGGGGAGTCGCCTACGCCTACTTCCTCTCCGGGAGGAGGGGCTCGAGTTCCGCGTCGTCGCGCAGAGCTGACTCTGGGAGGCGTTTGGGCCCAGAGAAGTGGATCGGCCGCTTGCGCCGCATGGAGTCCGAATCGGAAAGCGGGGCCGCTGCTGACACCCCACCACTGGAGACCCTAAGCTTCCATGGTGATGAAGAGATTATCGAGGTGGTAGAACTGGATCCTGGTCCCCCGGACCCGGGTGAGAATTGGTGGTCCTCAGGCCATGGGACAGAAGGCGCGCACCCCTAGCCTCTGACCCCTGCTTCTCCCCCCGCCCCTCCACGCTCCACCGGTCATTCCTACCGACCTCCTTCGCCTTTCTCCCTCCCCCCACCACACTTAGTTCTCAGGCCTGGCCGGGGTAGGGGTTCCCTTGACGCCTCCCCCGGCCCTTCCCCTCACACACCCCCCTTCCCGTCATCCCCTTGGTCCTCCCTTTCCACACAGTCGTAGGCCAACTCCAGGTATTCAGACCTATCCCCTGTCCCACGCGCCCCCTCCTCCCTGCTGCATCTCGCCCCCGCTTCGTCCTATCCGTCTGGCCTCACCTTACCCTCTTGCCACATGACCCACCCCAGCCCCAGGCCTCCCCACACTATACCCATTCCTCTTACTGTTTGCCGAGCCCCATCTTTTAACCCTCTCTCCAAAGCAGATGATCTAGCCCAAGAAATGGAAGACGTAGACTTCGAGGAAGAGGAAGAAGAGGAAGAGGGCAACGAGGAGGGCTGGGTTCTGGAACCCCAGGAAGGGGTGGTAGGCAGCATGGAGGGCCCAGACGATAGCGAGGTCACCTTTGCATTGCACTCAGGTAGGTCTCTGAAGAGATCCATGGTAAACTCAGTCCAGGCAGGCATTGGAGCATTGCATATCTTCTGTGTACAGAGCATTATGAGGGATGCAGAGGAAGGAAATTACCCACCTTGCCCTGGAGGAGCTCACAGGTAGGGGTAGTATGAGGGAATTGGCTCCTGGGGTTTGCTGAGAAACCTGGGTTCAAATTCTGCTTCTGCTACTTAACAGTTTGATAAACTTATGTTTATCAGCCTTTCTGGGTCTTAGTTTTCTTTTAAAAAGTTACCTTGGTGTAAATTAGATGTTGTAGTCTTTTTTTGAACATATTTTATAAAATTTTTAAATGCTGGCTCTTAATAAGGGACCGATAACATGATGCTCTTTCCTCCCTGTTTGTACCTAGCCTGGTGGCATCTCATGCTAAGAGCTGTAAGCCTTGCACATGTGCCCTTAGTGTAGGGTGGTGAAGGGAGCAGCACTGTAGGGGCATCTGCCCTGGAGAAGGACTTGGAGCTTGGCAAGCTTGGGGAGGGATTTCTCCAACAGCCTGATGCTTGAAACTTAGAAAAACTTGGATGCACTCTTCTTTTCCAGGAGGAGACATGTTGCTTTGGGTGGAAGGGGGTGGGCTTCCTGCAGGTCTCAAAGGACAGAACCTTAGTGGGAGCCCTATTTTCTTACTTGTGGAATTTCTTTTGGGACAGCATCTGTGTTCTGTGTGAGCCTGGACCCCAAGACCAATACCCTGGCAGTGACAGGGGGCGAAGATGACAAAGCTTTCGTGTGGAGGCTCAGTGATGGGGAGCTGCTCTTTGAATGTGCAGGTGAGGGGGCCTAGGTGTGGTTGTGTCCCTTTGGAGGTCTTAGGTGGCTAGCCTGCAGTGGTTGTACACCAGCTGCCATTTATTGACCTCCATTTTGTCAGCTCTGTGCTGGGCCTGAGGACCCCAAAGAAGAAGAATATAGTCCATTATGGACATAGGAGAGAGAGGCACTGATTGGGTAAGGGAGTCTGAGAAAGGCCTGAGAAAATGCGATGCAGGCTGGCGTAGGAGTGTTTGGGCAGAGGGGAGGATGTAGGTATCCTAGGCAGAGGTGTAGAGTGAACAAAAAGGTAAGTAAGACATAGGCCTGGGCTAAGCGAGGTTGTGGGGGGCAGCACTGTCTTCCCTGGGGAGACCTGGGCACATTGGTTCCTGCAGCAGCAGTGAGTTTGGTTACCTGTTAGGTTGGAGCCTGCCCTTCCTTTTTTCACAGCTGGTCTTTTCAGGGGCCAGATACCTGGATCATGTGCCCCCAGCACTAGGTGCCCTGATGTTTTCTTTCTGCTCACTTTTCCTTGAAGGCCATAAGGACTCTGTGACTTGTGCTGGTTTCAGCCATGACTCTACCCTAGTGGCCACAGGGGACATGAGTGGCCTCTTGAAAGTGTGGCAAGTGGACACCAAAGAGGAGGTCTGGTCCTTTGAAGCAGGAGATCTGGAGGTGAGATCATCAAATTGGGATTCAGCTCTGGGGGGCTTTGGGTAGGGGGCGAGAGCTTGGGGGTCCAGTCCCACCTTTACCAGACCAAGCCATCACTGAGCTAGTGCACTCTCAAGGTATGGCGAGAGTGTCTGTGCCTGTTACCTAGAATGTCCCCGCTGACTCAGAAGCAGGGAGACCTTGGTGGGGCTCATGAGGCAGGCTCTTAGGTGGGATAGAGTGACAGGCCTCTCTGCTGACCCTTCCTTTCTGCCCAGTGGATGGAGTGGCACCCTCGGGCACCTGTCCTTCTGGCGGGCACTGCCGATGGCAACACCTGGATGTGGAAGGTCCCGAATGGCGATTGCAAGACCTTCCAGGGCCCCAACTGCCCAGCCACCTGTGGCCGAGTCCTCCCTGATGGTGAGAGCAGCTCCCCTGAGTGTCCTTTCCTGAGTGCAGAGAGGTTGGACACAGGGTTACGTGCCCCTTAGGCTCCCTCGTGGGCCACAGCCGGCAAACCCTGAGCCTGCCAGGCCCAGCGCAGCTCCCCGTTTCCCTCTCTGAACTGGGTCTCCTCTGCTGGTCCTTGGGCAGTGTCTGTTCCCTCACTTTCTTGTCTCCCTCCCTCGCTCTTTCATCCCCTCGCTGGGTGTGTCTGAGTGTATCGTCTGTTCTTTCTTTGTGCCTCCCGCCCTTTAGGGAAGAGAGCCGTGGTTGGCTATGAAGATGGCACCATCAGGATTTGGGACCTGAAGCAGGGAAACCCTATCCACGTACTAAAAGGTGTCAAAAGTGGGGGCAGTGTTACCCTGGGCCTTTGTAGAGAAGGGGCTGAGACCTGGGGCAGGACTCAGAGGGGACAGGGTGAAGTCTGATTTATGCCCCTACTCCATCCTAGGGACTGAAGGTCACCAGGGCCCTCTGACTTGTGTAGCCACCAACCAGGATGGCAGCCTGGTTCTAACCGGCTCCGTGGATTGCCAGGCCAAGTTGGTCAGTGCTACCACCGGCAAGGTGAGTGGGACCTGGAGCCTCGCTGTGGAACCCTCCACTTTTGCCTCTTCTTCCCTTTTCTTATTCTTCACTTAACAGCCTTCTTTCCGTAGCAGAGGACCAAGTTTCCATGCTCCTCTCTGATCCTTTCCTCTGTCTCCTAGGTGGTGGGTGTTTTCAGGCCTGAGACTGTGGCCTCCCAGCCCAACCTGGGAGAAGGGGAGGAGAGCGAGTCTAACTCAGTGGAGTCCTTGGGCTTCTGCAGCGTGTGAGTGTGAGCCAGGGCCTCGGCCTGGAAACAGGAGGGGCTAGGGGTGAAGAGAGCTTAGGGAGGGGCCTGGGTTTGAGGGACCAGGAAGGAGTGAAGGGCACTTGAGCCCTGATCCCTCGATGGGCTCTGTGCTGCTCTCTTCTACCCAGGATGCCTCTGGCAGCTGTCGGCTACCTGGATGGGACCTTGGCCATCTATGACCTGTCTACGCAGACCCTTAGGCACCAGTGTCAGCACCAGGTACAGGCAGCCTTGAGCCACGGCCATGGCCATGGTCTTGGGGAAGCCCAGATCTTTGGGAGCATCTACCCCAGACCTGGCTCCCGTTTGGTCCTTCTCTGTGGCCCATCCTCCCTCCCTCCCTCTCTACCCTGCTTCCTCCATGGGAGTTGGGAGCAGATGCCTCTCATCTCTCCCGCCCCTGACCTCCACCCTGCTTGTTGCACCCTGGTGCAGTCGGGCATTGTGCAGCTGCTGTGGGAGGCAGGCACCGCCGTGGTTTACACTTGCAGCCTGGATGGCATCGTGCGCCTCTGGGACGCTCGGACTGGCCGTCTGCTGACTGACTACCGGGGCCACACAGCCGAGATCCTGGACTTTGCCCTCAGCAAGTAAGTGAATTGGGCAAGGGCTGGGGTCTCTGTATTTAGAAGGTGGGAATAGCACGTGGGGGGCCACAGGAACCTGGGGGTGTGGGAGGGGCTTCCTGAGGGAAGCTGGGACCCAACGCTAGGTGTCTGCTTGCGAGGCAGGAGTGCTGGGAAGCCTGAGGGGGTCGAGTGACTGTGACCTAGGTCTCCCACTTCAGTCATGACTCTGAGGGGTGGGAGTGCTCCCCCGTGCTGTGGCTCTTCTCTCATCCCCTCACTGGTTGCTGCCTTCAAGTGTGTTCACTCAACGTGGGTGTGTCAGCCTAGTGCCAGGCACTAAGGGTCTAGAATTGAGGCGCCGGAGGAGACCACATGGGGTCCCCTGGGCAGTGGGCTTGGGCCTGGGCCCCAGGTCCCCCAGTCCCTTTGACATGTGCTTTCTGTCCACAGAGATGCCTCCCTGGTGGTGACCACATCAGGAGACCACAAAGCAAAAGTATTTTGTGTCCAGAGACCTGACCGCTAGTGGCTGCAGCCTCTGCTTTGTGTCTGGTGTCGAGGGGTGAAGGGAGACCCCTCACCAGCAGAGGCAGCAGGAGGGTATGAGGGAAGAGGAGGGGAGGGGCCTCGGGCTACTTTCCAACCCCTTCACACTGATTTGCCCCTTCTGTCCCTTTCTTCTCTTAAAAGACCGCCCTCTGCCCCTCCCCCCCTCACCCAGACCTGGTGGATTCCTCAGAGGGAGGTTCACACCTCTTTCTCTTTCACTTTCCTTTGCTGGCGTGAGTCATGGGGTACTATTTGTATGTGGGCAGTAGGTCTTCGAGGTGCCCGTCCTTTCCCTTCCCAAATCTCTGGGGACGGAAAGGAGGAAGAGAGATTAGTTACAGATTTTAAAAATGTAAATAAAATATACTTCCCAGAGACAGTATCTGTGTGGAATTTGTGGCAGCCGGACCTGAGGAGGAAGCAGTGAGGGGCATGCCAGGGTGAGGCCCCACCTCCCAATCTGCTGGCTTTCCAGCTCAGCTCACCCTCTGCCGATGGCATGGCCTCGCCTACAGTGGCCGGCCTATCCAGGGTTGGACTCTCCCTCGATGCCCATCTGGCTTTAGGTTCTTTCCACAGCTGTTCTACCTGCCTCTCTCTTTCTGCAATATGGAATGAGATACCAATAAACTGGGCCAGAGGAGCTTTATTTGGCCAGGGTGGGGTAAAAAGGGGCAGGGTCTCTGATCCAGGGGTGTGGGGACAAGTGCAGGTGGGTTTGGTGGCCGAGATGGATGGATGCTTCTAGTAGGAGTGAGCAGAGGTCCTTCCCCTAGTTCAAGTCCAGGTCCATGCTGCTTTGGCTGCTGGTGCAGTATGCAGTGCTGGGGCCAGGACTGCCCGGAGAGGCTCTTCGCCGCAGCATCTGTAGCCACCTTTGGGCAGCTGCCCTCCAGGGAGCTGTGTAGCGCTGATCACCTAGCCCCATGGCTACGGGCACAGCTGCTGCACTGGCACTGCCCAGTGAGGTGAGGGACAACAGTGTTCCAGGTCCCAGTGGTGGACGCTGCTCATAGGCCAGGACTGAGAGGAGCAGGGTGATCACATAGGGCCCCCAGCACAGCCCAAAGAGCAGCGTGGCTCCAGCCTGTGCCCTTGCTTGCCTCCAGGTCAGGGCCCGGGCCAGGGCTGAGGGTGCCCCTCGGCATACTGCCCGCTCCAGCCTGCAGATGTCCTGCAATTGGCGGTGGGCAGCGGCCAACACGCAGGCTGAGAGAAGGGCGGCGGCACCCACAGCAGGCAGCAGCAGCCCGTAGACTTCCAGGTAGAGGTAGGGGGCTGGGAAGACAGCCTGGGAGCTGCAGTTGGCCCCAGGAGCCCAGTGGTTCCACCCTAGAGCGGGCAGGCTGGCAAAGAGCAGGGGTGAGGCCCAGGTGAGGAACAGGGCCAGCCGAGTGCTCCCACGGGGCTGCAGAGGTCGCAGCACTGCCATGTAGCGTTCCCTGTGCACCAGCAACAGGTTGGCGAGCAGGGAGAGGAAGGAGAAGTTGGGAGACAAGTAGAAGAAGAGACAGGACCAGTAGCCTCGGCGGCTCTGGCTCCACAGGCCTGGCAGCGCAGGCAATGCCAGACCTGTGAGCAACCCGGCCAGCAGCAGGCTCAGGAAGAAGCAGCCAGCAGGTGGGCTGCGCAAGTGGCGGTTCCCAGCGATGCCCACGGCCAGGAGCAGGTTGGCCATGACGATGAGACTTGCCAGGACCAGGGAGAGCTCCACGGTCCCCTCGGGAACAGCACTGGGCACCTCCTGGGTGCTGTTGGGTGTCATCTTGGGACTAGGGACAGGGGAGGCCTGGAGCAATTGCTGGCATGCCTGGATGGAAGACGGGGTGACCAGAGTTAGGGTGGGGCTGCAGGTCACTGTCTTTTTGGTGGAGACTGCACATTAATCTAGAGGTTGCAGACCAGTGGACTGTAGGCCATATCCTGTTTGCTGATACACACTTTTTTTTTTTAAATTAATGGCAATTAACATTTACATAATTTCTATTTTGCATTTCTCTTAAGAAATGTGTGGCAGCATGTATGTCCTGTATGGGGTAGTGACCAGCTGGAGCAAAGCAGCAGCTGCCTTTGGAGAGGTCCCTGCAGTCCCCATCAGGCCACTTCACCCATTTCTGTTATCTGTCTGGTCCCTTCTGGGCAGCTATGTTTAATGCCTGTTTAGTCTGAAAGGTGGATACACCCAGCCCCAAAGCATCTTGTTTATCTTTGCCCCCACCCACCGAAGACTCCAAATAAGCCAGCAGAGGATAGGGTCTGGCTGGTTTGTAGTGTCCTCTGGCTAGCCACAGTGGAGATTCTCCTTTGGGCTGGGGCTGGGGCCAGGTGCCAAGATGCAGAGGGGTCCCTGTCTTCAGATGCTTAAAGCTTGGTTGGCACCAGGGCATTAAGGATTGGGGGTGAGGGGCGGGCAGGAGTGAGTCAGAAGCGGGGCTCGCTGAGCACTCGAGTTATTGAGGAGGCCAGGAAAATGGATTGCGGCAATGGGGGCAGGGTGCCCTGTCCCTCGCACACCTCCCCCCATTCGCCCTTATAGCCCGTTGGTTACAGCTCAGTGAGCAGCCTCCGGGTAGGACTTCCAGCCCATAAACTTGACTCTTCCGGACACTACACTAGCAACAGGGCCCTTCCAGGGAACTAGAGGGAGAGGAGTTGCTGGGGGTGGGGGTGGGGAG